AAAAACCCTCATACCTAAACTCAGAGAACTAGTATGTAAGGTCATGTAGGAAGAAAATTTAATTGAAAAATTCATTCAGGAGAACTGGCAGTTTCTCAAAGAGGCAATATTAAAGGCACAACAGCAAAAAGTAGTCACCCTGAAAGCTGCTTTAACTTATGCCAGAAGTGATTTCAATTTCCCTGGTAGCCCAGAATCTGGGAAGCACAAAGGTGGCATTTGCACCTTCTGTGCTGCATCTCTCAGCAGACACTGTACAGGCTCTAGTCCCATGAGGGTTTACTAGATACGTTTTGAATAAAAGTTCACTAGTTTTCACTGCACAAATTAGTATGCATTTCAGTAAAAACATGACACTGATTTTGAATCATAGTAATAGTGCATGTACATTGAGAATGCCTTTTTATTGCAGAGTTGAAAATCTTGTCACTGCCAATTAAAGTGAATGGACAGATTTATTCAGTCCCTGTTATCACAGAGAAGAGACAGTTGGAGATAATGGTGAAAATATAAGAGAAAAAAGATCTTTTGGTGGCCTCTTGAAGATAGTTCATAGTGTTCTATGTGTTGGTATGGAAAACATCCCATCTAAAAATGTACTGTGCTGTGTTTTTATATTAGGTGCACGGCTACCTCCTCATATTACTAGCATTCAAGTTTTCTCTTTCCATACTCCAAACTAAATATAAAATTGGATGAGTGCTCATATATCTCTGGAATAACATTTTTGGTAAATGGAAACCCAGAGAAATTTTGTCCAAAATTACACAGGAAATCAGTGACAGAATCATTAACAGAAACCAGTTTGCTTATCCAAGTCCCATGCTGTCAAACTACAGTATCTAACTGTCTTTAAGGTTCAAAGATCTGGGACAATGTATGGGATTGCAATACAGAGGCCCATTTCTGGTTACTAGTCTGTGTCAGCAGCTCTTATTATACCGTATATGCTCATTATACTTCATTCACCGTGTCATGATATTTATACAGGTTGAACCTCTCTAGCCTGGCATTCTCTGGTCTGGCAATATCCGTAGCCCAGCAGGATTTTAGTCAGCCAGATGTCCACTTATCAGGGGTGTAGCCCTGTTTCCTGTAGTCCCATAGTTGTGTTTACAGCCACCAATCCTGGTCTCAGTGTTCTGTACAGTTATTTAACTCTGATTTACCTGTAAATGTTTTCTAAGAGCAGTGTAAGTGTTGGTAATGTGGCTAGACAATATTGACCTCCCATGGTTCAGCAAATTCTCTGGCTTGGCACCCGTCAGGTCCTGAAGGTGACAGACTAGAGAGGTTCAAAGGTGAATAAAAGCTGTATAAAAGGTGATAAGTAATATATGGATTGAAATCTAATAACTCACTGATCATTAATATTCTTGCATGATGTATATATGCAGGGTGTATTGAGAAAAATTGATATATGCTAAAATGATTATTAAAAGTGTATTTAAACCAGGTATGTTGAGGGAATGAGTAAATAAGTCTGTCCTAGACAAAGGAATATGTATTTGCTTCTCTGAATAGTCTGGTCTTCATTGCAGGCCTATTTACATTGTAGGTAAATAAAACTATCAAGCTAAAAAAGAAGTAGGGGAGACTGTTTCCAGAAGTGAAGAGAAACTTTATCTGGGCTATGCAGACAGGGAGAGAGTTTGAACCTCAATTGACAAGTAATTGACTTAATTGGTCGTATTACCAGTTTTATCTAGTGAGATGTTTTATGAAAGACTATCGCACACTGGTAAATGCAAAAATGTATGTATTAATGATATATGAGAAATTATGGCTATGCATTAATATTAGGCTTTCCGAGTCTGTGCCCAAACAAAGGGTAAACAACCATGTCCCAAGGAGGCAGGAATATCATAGGTATATATCTGTCTCCTATGTAAAATAAATATGAAATCAAAACAATATAATCTCCATTTACATACTAGGGCAGGGGTGGCCAACCCATTCCAGACGAAGAGCCACAATAGGAGTGGAGACAGTGTGAAGAGCCGGGACAAAGTTGTTGAGCAAAAACATGGCTTTTTTTTTTGTTTTTTTGTTAACTTTTCCCCAGATCTCCACTGCTATTATGGCTGAGGAGAAAGCCGCAGGCTTGTGGCTGTGAGGGTGCAGGAGTTTGGGCTGGGATGCATGAGGGGCTCAGGGCAGGGAGGCTGGGAGTATGATGGGCTCAGGACACAGATTTGCAGTGTGTGGATGGTGCAGGAGTGTTGTGGCAGAAGATTGGAGATGTGTGGGTGCAGGAGTTTGGGGATGTGAGAGGCTCAGGACAGGGGGTTCCAGTGTTATAATGCTGCGGCCAGATGTGGGCTTGTTGGCCAGGCTTCATTTTTAAATACAATATTATGTCAAACACAAAATGTTTCAGTGTTGTCTTTATTTATGAGAGGGGCGGGGAGCCTGTTTTGAGTCGGAGTCACTGACCTGACCCACAGAAAAGGCAGTTGGGGCCACACCAGTGAGATGTAAAAAAAAAACAACAACAACAACAAAAACAGCTGCTCCAAAACCCCCAAGCCTCTAATGTGGCCCTAACTTTGCTTGTGAGGGCCAGGGCCAGGGTGCTGGGGCAGGGTACTGGTGCGGGCTGGGACAGGGTACTCGTCGGGGGGTCTGGCTAGGAGGAGGTCTTTCCCTCCCCTCCACTTCCCTCTCCTTCCCCAGAGCCAGGCACCGGCCCCCCTCTCTCCCAATCCCCCTCTCTCCCACACTCTAACCTAATTCTTGGGTCCCAGAGGCGGAGCCGCCAATACAGCCATATGCATCTCCCTCCAGGCACTGAGCGTCCGGCCTTGAGCTATGCTGGCTGGAATGCCGTGCGCACCCCCCGCCCAAACCCAATCCCTCCATTCCCTTCCTCTCCCCTCCCCTTCCCCAGACTTGAGCTAGGCACGGCCCCTTCCCCAGCTCTAACCTAATTCTTGGGTCCCGGAGCTGCCGCTGCAGCTACAGCTACACATCTCCCTCCAGGCCCTCAGGCGCGTGCGCTGAGCAGCCGGCATGCCATGCGCACCCCTTCTCCTCCTCTCCTCTCCCATTCCCTAGAGCCAGACACCTCCCCTCCCTGCTCTAACCCAATCCCCCTCCCCCACTAAACTTATGCCCAGGTCCCGAAGCCGCCGCTGGCACCGCCACCGCTGCCTGTGCTCAGCAGCGAGCTGCTAGCACGTGCAGGCTGGGACACTGTGTGCGACCCGGCCTGACCTGAGCTGTTCTGAGTTCCATCCCAGTTTCCATCAGGAACCACAATTTTTTTCTTCATGAGCCGCATGCGGCTCACGAGCTGCAGGTTGGACAACCCTGTACTAGGGAATGGGAACCTGACAGAAAGGGAAAACCAGCATGTGAATATTCTGCCTCCTGAAATAAGGTGATTGAATTTTGGCAAATACAAAATTCATTTTTGCATCCATTACTAGACAGGCACAAGGGAACAGAGCTCCTGCAAGCTGAGAAACATTGGTCCTTCTTCAACCAATGTGGGGGAGAGGTTGAAGTCTCTGAGAAGGGAGTATAGATGAAAAACCTGCATAGGAAAAGCTATTTCAGCTCGGTCTCAGAGTCCCAGGCAGCACAATCCGGTCCGGAATTCCCAGCGGGCTGGAGATGGGTTGGGGGAACCTTTCAGTTATCAATTCCCAGTCCCTATCTTCTTCTGCCATCACCCCACCCTCTCCTCTCCAAGGCACCCCATTTTCTGAGGATATGGTTTCAGGAATCATTGAGGGGGGAGCTGGTTCAGTGAAGCAGCAGTTGTGCCTCACCCCCCCAAAAAAACCATTCCTCATGGCAGCAGGAGCTGTAGGGAAGCAGAGCGCAAAAAAGCAAGTTACAGGTTTCACAGATTTATGTTTGTACTGAGAAATGACCCTACTGACATGCAAAATAGCATTATGAAATTGATCAGCCTATGTAAAGAACTTCCTGGTGAACCTTTTGTTTAAAATAGCTGCTCTTTCTTTGGAGTAGTTGGCTATCGTAAAAGATTATGGTCTCTTAAAATGACAAGCTTAGAGCTGAGTGTGATTATGAAAAAGAATGAGGGGGTAGTTGGTTCACATTTATAGATAACTAGTATAAAGCAACATCTGGAAAATTGCTTGGAAAAAAATCATGGAATTTTATTTATATGTTTTACATTTTGTTCTCTATTTTTAAATATAATTTATATCATCACAAAATGCTTTGAAAATATAAAAAAATTCTAAGGTAAAGGCAATTACTTATCTATTCATGATTTCCCTTTGTAAAACTATTTTTTGTGCACTTTTATGCTTTATAACATTGGATTTTCCTGAAAATTGAGAAATAGCCAATTACGTATCTTTTATCTGTTGTTGCAAACTAAAATATTAATTTTTAAAATATCTCTTTTGTGCAAAAAGAGCTGTAAAAAAAGTAGATTCAGCTACAATGTTTGCATGTATAGTGAATTATGAGAAAAATCAGGCATATTGTGTATAAAAGCTGCTGCTATAGTTGTGAAAGTGAATTCTACCTTTAGCCTGTACAGTCCACATTTTACATTCTTTTGATTTAATCCTGAATTCCTTAGAGAGGTGAAAATCAGAGTCTATGGGCCTTCATACACATTTAGTGCCTGGCATGGTCTCCCCTGTTTTTAGCTGACGTTGTATAAGGTACTTAAGTATTATGTATATCTGTAGGATACCTGTTGGTTTAGGGAAGCATTTAACATTTTTAATAACTCATTTTTTCATATCACGGGGTTATATGCTTGTTGACTGAGATACACAGTTGTATATATAAATAAAGTCTGTATATTATATTTTGCTTTCTTAGATAACTTCTTGTGTATCCTGTTTGAGAAATGTGGTTGAATGTGACTAATCCTGACACAAAAATCAAACAGGAAAATGTAATGTTGATCCATCAGACATGAAAATAACTTCAGGCATCTGTAGAAGAAATGAAAATATAAATCTGTAGTGATATTTCTTTAAGATTTGCGCTTCAATTTTTTCCAGTTGCCCCCACAATTCAGGAACTTAAATCCAGTGGAGTGATGCTAGGAGGTAACGGATTGATACGATGTGAAAGTGCAGGAGTTCCTCCTCCAATCTTTGAGTGGTACAAAGGAGAGAGAAAGTAAGTACACTACATGTATTTATTATATATTTTATACACTGATACCTACCTAATACTGTTCTGCATATTATAAAAAGTCACATGTTAAAAGGAGAGGCATCAATGGAATTTGGTATAGTAATAATGTTCAATTGGTTTACAGTAGAAAAATTATGATGCAACAATAAAATACAGTCAGAGCATAGCTTCTAAGATTGGATCCATTAATGTGTAAAGAAGCATTTAGAAGATGCGGGTAAGTGTATCTTGTGGATAGCTATGGATATCATATGCCTGGTTTTAGATAGGGGACCTATTATTTCATTCCTAATCCAGTCTTCAAAGTCTTGTCAGTATGTCACTTGAACCCATACTCACATGCAAACAGATCAGATGTTTCAGCACAGCTGAGGAATACATGGTGAATCTTTATAACGGTGCATTGAACATTGGAGTGCTCCCTACTAAACCCAATGTCTGCTTATCAGACATAGTGAGGGAACCAAGTTGTGTATGTCAACCAGAGTCACTGAATGAAACAATCCCAGCAGCATGGGAGTCCTGAGAATGAAGGAGCTACTGGGACAAGGCATCATCACAATCTCTATGGACATGGGTGGGCAATAAGATGGAAGTAGTTTGCCAGAGTTAGCTCCTGGAGGACAGCCACCACTTTATTTACCTGTGCCTCCAAAGGTACGGGTTCTTGCAGCTCCCATTGGTTGTGGATCGCCATTCCTGGTCAATGGGAGATTTGAGAAATGGCATGAATAGGGACATTGTTTCCCGCTCTCCCATTGGCCAGGAACGGCACTCTACAGCCCATAGGAGCTTCAAGCAGCTGTATCTGTGGAGGCACAGGTAAATAAAGTGGCAGCAACCTGCCAGGGGCTAATCCTGGCAAATCACATCCAGCGTGCAGTCTGGTTATTGCCTACCACTGCTTTACCTAACTGAGAATCTGGCCCAAGGTTTATTTTTCCTCATCTCACACACTGAAAATCAATAAAGTATTTTTCATATTTCTTTTTAGTCAGTTGCATTTTTAGATCCTTAATGTTATCTCAGTTGAGTATCCTTCCCTTCTGGGGAACCTTTATTTGTTTAAAAACATCTGCTTTCATTGAAATAATCTGTTTTTACCACTTTTAGGTTTATATAAAAGGTTATTTTTACAAAGGTAACTATTGGGGCAAATTTATGTTGTCAGTGTCTGTTTAAAGCATGTGTACAAGGGAACAACATGAATGTTCACCTTAGCTTTTGGAATTTCATGATTTGTAAGGGCTTACTTTCTCAACTTTAACTTAGCATTAATGCTGGGATTTATCACAGAATATGAATGAGCATTCTTCTTGTAAACAATTTGTCAGAACATTTCTGACTAGCCAACTGTTCTTCTTTAGATTTGTTCCCCTATGGGAGAGTTAGCTGCTCCCTTTCTTCAACAACTTTACAGAATGGTCATGAATTCCATACTTAGAAGGTCTGCAAAGTTGTTGTTTTTTTAATATGGTGCATCTGAAATGGTAGCAAAAAAATTATCTTATCTTGAGAGAGCCACCTAAATTCTTCTCTCAAAGGTCCACATTTTATTTCTTCCTCTTTATATACAAAAACACTACTATTTTGTAAAAGATTTTTGTTTTGTTTTGTTTTACAAGCACCGCTTCAGTACTGTTTGTAATATACATTACAGAGTCTGGACTCAACTGGAGACTCCTAATTTGATGTTAGTAGTATCCATTTAATGCATGGATTTGACTGATTCCCTTATTTTTATGTATGAACTCAGTTTCATGAGATCAGTAAGGGTATGTCTAGACTACAGGCTTACGTCGACATAAGTTTTGTCTGCAGAATCTGTCGACAAAGCTTCTGTCGACAAAGAGCGTCTAGACTACATCCAGTTCTGTCGACAAAGCAAGCTACTTTGTCGACATAACAGTGTGGACGCAAAAGACAGTGTTGATGCAATAATGCCTTCTATCGACAGAACTCTGTCGACAAAAGACATTATTCCTCATAGAATGAGGTTTACATACGTCGACAAAACTGCTGAGTTTTGTCAACATTATGTCGACATAACTCAAAGGCAGTGTGGACGCAGGTATAGCTTTGTCAACAAAAGTCCACTTTTGTCGACAAAACCCTGTAGTCTAGACACACCCTAAGACACAACAGGCAGTGCATTTCAGGACAATAAAGTCATTGTCTTCTGTCTCTTGTTTCAGTTATAAGATCACCTGAGGCTTATTTTAATCACCCAGAAATGTATTGCTTAGTATTTGTTAATACATGCTTATGTTAAATCTCATAGTATATAGTATTTTTGTTACAGTGTTTTATATAGGCACACTGCAGATCCTGAGCATTTGCAATGATAGTATCTCTTAACATTGCAAAACCTTCCCGATTGCAAGAAAGTCACATTGTTTTTACTCCTACATCGCTGTGTTTTCCAATATTGCCCCTGCAAGTATCATCTTTGGAAGATGAAAAATCTATTCAGCACTATGCTGGTAAAGCCAATTCCCTGCTGTACCACAACTGAGAAATGTCAGTTTCAAAGGCAGTTCAGGAAAAGACTGCAAAGTGGTGAGCGGATTATTTATAGGCATGGCTGAAGTCACTTGCAGGAAATGTTAAGGTCCAATTCTCTTCTTTGTGAAGTCAATGGAAACTCTTCAATTCCCCACCATGAGAACTGCATTGAATCCTAAATAAGTGCTGAGTGTTGGGGTATTTTGAAAAAGACCTAAGAATATCTGTGTCTGATATAACTATGACTGTAGAATCTACAGACTTCCCTTTTCAGTGCTCTAGGCACACTGGCATCCAAATTACAGTCCATTTAAAAACAAAAACAAAACAACCATCACAACATAAAACACACTAGTTAACAAAGATTAAAAGTTGCAAAACACATTGTATCCCATCAATAAGTACCACTCAAACCCCAACCCATCTACCCTTCACAAGTATCTTTTCAGAAGGACACTTCATGCTCTAAAGATCAACAAGTTCAACCTAGTTTGTATCCAGGTAAGGAGTAAGTCCAAGTGTGTCATGATCATGAGAGTTAGCCAGCATCCTGGGGTCTGAGGATATGTCTACACTAGCCCCCTAGATCGAACTAGGGAGGCTAATGAGGGTGACTGAAATTGCAAATAAAGCACGGGATTTAAATATCCCACGCTTGATTTGCATGTTCCCATCCAGTCGCCATTTTAGAAATTGACTAGCCTGAAGTAACTGCCCGCATCTACACGCTGCAGTGAAACAGGATTCCGAAATAAAGCCCTAACTTGAATTAGCTGGGATTCCTCCTGCAATGAGGTTTACCAGCTAATTCGAGTTAGGGCTTTATTTCAGAATCCCGTTTCACTGCCGTATGTAGATGCGGGCAGTTACTTCGGGCTAGTCAATTTCTAAAATGGCGACCAGATGGGAACATGCAAATCAAGCGCAGGATATTTAAATCCCGCACTTCATTTGCAATTTCGGTTGCCCTCAGTAGCCTCCCTAGATTGATCTAGGGGGCTAGTGTAGACATACCCTAAGGGGTTAAATATGTCCCTTACCTAAACCAGATGGCAGGCAGCCAATAGAAATGTAGGTAGGAAATTCAAACTGGGACAAAGGAATTTTTGGGTTTTCACCTCCTTTGTCTCTAGGGAGGTTTCTCTCCAGCTATTGAAGGGGACAGGATGTGGTCCTCTAAGAAAATACACTTCACAGTCTGGAAGTAGGATAAAGTTTAGATAAATCCATTAGGTTTTATCATTTGGGAAATGGGATCTGGTCTGTGCATTTAAAAATGGGTTTTGCTCTCCTTTGTAACTAAGTTCCTGGCCCACGGTAAATTTCTCTTCCATGAGTATATTACTTTGTTACTCTTCCATCTAGTCATTATGCTTGCAACAGGAATATTGTGATGGTAATAAAATTTCTTTCTCTTTTCTTTTATTAACCTGGTATTGGTTAATTTTTGTGTCCTGGTTTGTACTTCAGGGGTGAGATTTCCCAAGTAGTCTCTCCTTGGTTGCTTTATTAATATTTGGGTGGTGGCAGTGGACATTCTATCTCCAAAATCTAGGTTGTTAAGATTTTAGGGGGAAGTTTTATACCAAAGCCTGGTAGGTAAGGTTTTGGGGTACTTTTGCTGGCCCCTACTTCTGCATTTATCATACCAGAGTGTAAAAAAGCCTTTACACAAAACATCTCAAGGAAATTTCCCTTTTTTATAGGCCAAGGGATCTCCTGTTCAAGCACCATACTAATCTCAGCTGGAGCAGATGGGACAGGGAGACACACAGTCTCTCATTCAGTCAGGTCTGAGACCAGTGGTGGGAAATTACTGGCCCACAGACTGCACCAATTCGCCAGAATTTTCTCCTAATGAGCTACCACTGCTTTGTTTACTTGAGCCTCCGAAGTTACAGCCACTTGAAGATATCATTGGCCGCAGATCACTGTTGCCAGCCAATGGGAGCTGTGGGGAGCAATATCATGATCTGTGCCACTTCCCCATTGGCTGGGAATGGCAATCTGTGGCCAGCAAGAGCAGCAAGCATCTGTACCTGCAGAGGCACAAGTAAATAAAGTGGAGGCGGCCTGCTAGGGGCTAACCCTAGCGAACTGTCTCTGGCTTATTGTCTATTCCTGTCTTAAACCATTTAGAGCTTCATCTGACAATACCAATACCTTAAATTCCACCAGGAAGCCAGTACTCACATACTGTAGATCCCAGAGCACTGATGAATGTGCCAAACATGAGATGTGCCAATCAGCATATAGGACCACACATTCTGCAGGAACATTCAACTCCTGAATTAATTGAATTGGTCTGGGAAACTCCTGCAGAGTTCAGCTACATGAAATTTTTCAGACAAAACTTTGTCTTGGAGAAAAATGTAGATTGTGGCCTGTCAAAATATTTTGGAAATTTGTTGTGAATTTGCTAATTGGTTCAGTTGAGGAAAAACAAGAAAAAATGCTGAAAATATTTTGTCTAAATA